AAACCCACCACACAAAACCACAACACAAGGGTATAAATTTTTTTTAAGAGGTGGCACTGCACGTGGTTTTACTCCTTGTTTTTTCTTGGTGAGTTATATGTGGTGAATCTTTATAGGTGGTATTTCAGGGTTTCTTTAAGAGGAGGAAATTAATTTACAGCCATTATGTGTATTAAAGTGATAATTAAGACATTCCACTGCATTATACAGCCTGTCTCCTAACAAAAGGGAGTTTTTTTGCAATCTTTTTTTTTTCCTGTTGTATTTTAAAAGAAAGCTCTTAGCTGTTTGAAAAATTCCTATTGATCTTTTTCCCCCCCAGGCCTTTCCCAGGTCTCTGGCTGCTGCGCTAACACTCTTCTCCCAGCGTTACAGCTGGTCACAGCTCCTTCTCACGCAACCCGTGGCTGCCTGTTCCCTCTTTAAATAGTTCATTGGCCACCGTTCATGCCCTCGCCCTGCAGCCCTGTGGCCCCCTGGTTCCCCTCTGATCTGAAGCCCTTCAGAAAGACCGTGGTGAAACCCATCAGAGAAGCCCCATCAGTAACTGTGGGGCAAATGCCATGTAGGTGCATCCCAAAACAAAGAAATCAGCTAACGCACAAGTAGGAACTGTTTTGTGTCATGGATTGGCTGAAACATGGAAATTGTGAAGAGCCTGGGAAAAGGTGAATCGGACTTCCTGGACTGGTGAAGAAAAGGGGAAAAGGTGAATTGCGCTTCCTGTACTGGTGAAGAGGAAAAGGTGAATAGTCCTTCCTGTACTGGTATTTAGCGCTGGTTGGTTTTTTTTCCAGTTTGCTGCTTTCCTTCTCTCTGGGGGCAGATGGAAATGTCATCAGAAATTTAAAAACAAATCTGCGCTGGGTTCATAGTCATGAAATGGGTTCCTTGAAGCTGCTTTAAAAACCAGTCCCACAGAAAGGTTAGCAAATCAGTGAGTAATTAGCTGTGTCCTTTCATAAACAGTGTGAAAGACAGCTGAAATGTCTCGGTGTTGTTGAAAGAGGCAGCAGGACCTGGAGGTAGCTCCTGCTGCAGTGATCCCTGCAAAGCAGAGAAGGGATGGGAGGTCCCAGGGCTGGAGGAGCAGATGGCCCTGGGCAAGGGGGCTGCTCTGACAGCTCCAAACAAGTGCAGATACTTACCAGTATGGCTCTTCTCAGAGGAGTGGTGACTGGGAAGATTAATGCACAATTATGTTTATGTTAGTGTAAAGGTTAATACACACCAGAGTGCCTCTGAAAGTGTTGGGTTGTTGAACCTCCATCCTTGGAGACATTGAAAACTGCTGCACCAGGCCTTGAGGAACCTGATTTAAGCAGGGAATCAGACCAGATCTCCATTCCAAACCTCGCTATCCTATGAGTCAGCCACTTTTGCCAATATATTTAGCTCATAACCACCAGAATGAAGATCACTGAAAAGCAGATCACATTAACAGCTAAATACTGACCAGGCAGTTAAAAAGAGCTGATGAAACTGTAGCAAGGTACTAGCAGAGTCTGGAGGAGGGATGCAAATTATAACAAGAGTGATGGGGGAAAAAAACCAGCAGTGAAACTATTGCCAAGCAATACTTTTCCTTTATAAAGAGAGACAAATAAATACTTGTTGCTGGAAAAACAAAACAAAACAAAACAAAACAAAACCAAAAACAAACTCCATCAAAACGAACAAACAAACAAAACCAAAAAGGAAATAAAAGAGAAATAGCCTGCTCTTCCAAATGTCTCCTTTTGGCTTTGAAACAGCCAACATCAGGGATAGCAAGTAGATGGACTTAGCATCCAGAAAAGCTGCTAAAAAGGAACCTTGAGCAACCAGAGCGGGCTCTGGGGCCAATAACCCAAAGGATACTTCAAATTCGTAAGGAACCTGAAACAAGAACATGTCCTAAGGATTTTTCTTTTGCCTGCTACTAAGAGAGAAGCTGTGATATTTTAGAATCGTCGCGGAGGCTGTGACACCTATTGCACACCCAGGAAGATGTAAACTGTAAGTTCTAGGGTGCCCTCCTGACTGGAGTCCATAAGCGCAGATGTTTAAGGGATTAATGCCACTCCACGTGGCAGCAGCTCTCCTGCAGAATTACCAAGAAAAAGAGGCAACAAACTTCCCTCCTTGGAGCTGGCGTCTTCCTGCAAACCTCCACGCTGCTCCCTTTGAACCGGGCAGGAGTTTTGACACTGATGCATTTAAGTGCTGTTGAGTGAGCATCCTGTGAGCATTTGATTAGAGCAGTGCAGGGCTCATTAGACTGACTTGTTTTAACACACTTTCCAACATAGGAGAAAAGGGAAAATAATTACTAGTAAACTCTGTGTTGCTGTTTTGAACATTATGACCCAGCATCGTTTTGACAGTCTCTAACAATAGCATAAATGAGCTGAGTAATGTGACCAAGTGTCTAGAAAAGCCTTATTCCAGAAAACAAGAATAGTAAATCACATGATGCCCCATGAGATGGGGTGTTTTGCCAAATTACTGCTTCAGGGGAAGTGAGAACACTTTCAGTAACTGGGATGTTTCTTCATCCATTTCAGGCATTCAGGGTTCCCACTGCTAAGAACAACCCCTTCTTCCCCACCTCCTACCTCGCTATTTTAGTTTTTAATTGGAGATACCTACCAAAGGCTGGTGGTTACCTCTATTTGCTGCCAGAGAAGCCTATCTTTTTCTCTTCAAAGGGCTTAAAAAACGCTTATGGGGAATGGGAAAGCTTCAGTACCTTTTTTAACCACCAGCAGACAGTCCTGTAGAGTCAAATGCATACATCAAGAGCCAAATAAGAATAAAACATAATCAAGATAACCCTTCAGACTGTGTTGAGTTTAAACTATTGCTGATCCCCCACCTTAATGTACAATACTCAGCTTTGTACCACATGAGATGCAAGACCTAAACACTAGTGAACTCAATAAAGATATTTTTTTTGTCATGGCAATATGACACAGAACATTTTGTGTTGTGCCTCTAGGACTGGTGTTCAAAATAGCTGTATGGGCCACGGAGAAGATGTGGCTTTTTCATGTACTGGTGACTGGGTTGCAGAAATGACCTAAATTCGCTCATCTCTGTCTACATGCTAGCATGTGTGCTGTCTCACAAAAACTGTTTGGTCCCAGTCAAATACCCAACACGTGAATTGGAGACTTGTGTGTTAGAAGCAAATGAAGACCACCTACAACCCTACAACAAGCCAGAGGAAGATCAACCTGCTTATGTTAACTGCAAAGATTTAAAGACATGATTTTGTCCTCCCTACCGTGCACCCAGCTTTGTCATAGAATTCATTACACGATTCAGTACTGTTAAAGTATACTCATAACCATGATCACTTAGGCCAGATCAACATTGGAGTACTATTTTATAGCATATAATAGCTCTTATATATTAATGCATCTAAAAAATGTGACCTTTTCCACTGGGAAGGATTTATTTTATTGAGACCTTCCTATAAATGTGATATTCTGTTTCTTCATTACTGTTTAAGCCTTGTTTTCCAGCTGCTGCCTTCTATGAAATGAGGCTAATAACAGCACCAGTAACAGCTGGATGATTAATTCCTTAACAACTGTAAAATGCTCTGGTATGAACAGAAGAGGATTTTGCTGTGTATTTCTCCTTGGTGTTTCTAAGTTGAATAAGTTCTTCCTTGAAAGCAGCTGACTTCTGGTGCCTGAAATCTTTGTGTCCTTTCTCTCCTCTTCCCCCATCACTTTCATTTTTTTTCATACTAAAGTAGGGAGTACTATGAAATTTCTTCATTTTACCCCTGAACAACAGAATTTTGGGTACAGGGAAACCTCAGGCACATATTTTATAGATCTTTCCAATGGTATCAGCAGGATCTGACAAAGACCATCACTACAACAAGGGACCCAGCCCCGTCCTGAGCTGCTACAGGCATTTCGACTGCCCTAGATGCACTTGAGTGTGCAGAGCCCTTTGGTTACCAACCCATAGGTGCCAATCATTGCCTGTAGAATGGTCTCATCCTGTTTCAAGAAGTCTGGGAGATGGGGCTTTGCCTTGGCTGTTCAAGCCACCATGAGGATATTTAGAGGTTGACTGGCCGTGGAGATGTGTTTCCAAGCATCTAGAAGTCAGATTTTATTTCTTTATATTTAAATATAATCCAAGGAAAATGACGTACCATTTTCATGAAGTCAGTATTTGATAAAAGTAACAAATGGAAAAGAAAGACCTAAAACAAGAAACGCAGAAATTAATATATACACATCCTTGAACCGCATTATGCCATCCAATCCTGACTCACGTCCATGGCTCAAAAATTATGCCCATAGATGCTGTGTTAAAACCAATTAGCTGTCGGCTGTTCGAAGTCCTGCGCTTACACTGCTCCAGTTTAGCCATTCCCTTTTAGCATCTGCGAGCGCAGAAAACAAACAACCCCCTCTGTCCCTTTTGTGCATCTCTGGTATAATTTATATTGCTCTGGCAAAAAGCATCCCCGCTGAAGCACTGGACACACACACAGTGGATGAGCAGAGCCTGGCGACTGCGGGGCAAGCTGTGGCTGATGATGAGGATGCAAGAAATGGATCCAAAAATGCTCCACGGTGGGAGTTTTGCTTAGAGGTCTGCCTGGTGGGTTTCAGTGGTGAGTGGCTGGGTGTTTTTCCGCATGGCATGTGCCAACGGCAGGCCTGCTCATTTTAGGGGGCATCTGGAGGCTGGGATCTTCTGTAGCAAACGTGCAAGAAGCCACAAGTGGGAAGGGTCTGCTCGAGGTTCAGCTTTGCCTCAGAGCTTGGCTCCTCTCTGCCAGTCCTGCAAGGGGCTGCTCTTGGGATGGGGACCTCTGCTCTGGACCCTGCAGCAGCTCTCCCAGGACATCCAAGGCTTCCTGTAGGCCCTGTCCAGTGTGGGCGCTGCAGCCCTGGAGCACCCAGCGATGCTCCACCAGCCGTCCCTGCTGCAGCCTCTCCCCCAGCTCAGCGGGTGTCAGCGCTCCCGGCACCTCCTGCTTGTTGGCCAGGAGGAGGAGGGGGACACCAGCCATGCTGGGGTGGCTCAGCACTTCCTCCAGTGCCGCTGCTGCCTCAGGAAGCCGTGCCACGTCTGTGCTGTCAAGCACAAAGACCAGGATGTTGGTGTCCTCCAGGTAGTCAGGCCAGCTTGCCCGCAGGCTGCTTTGTCCTCCAACGTCCCAGAGGGTGAAGGATACGCGACAGGGTGTTTTCAGATACTCCACGTTGAAGCCCACCGTTGGGCAGGTCTCCACAGCCCAGCCGCTCTTCAGTTTGTACAGAAGGGTGGATTTGCCAGCAAAGTCAAGCCCCAGCATGACAACTCGAGCATCTCTTTTGTGCTGGCCTTTGGAGATCAGCTTCCCCATCAAGATGCTGTCGCAACTCTGGCAAAAAAAAATTGTAGCCAAAAAAAGAAAGCAAGAGTATTTCCTCAGTAATGTCGGTTAATAACAGAGTGTTCAGTTCTGCCTCTCCAAGAGAGCACGTTAGGTTTGCTGAAGAAAGACACGGGCAACTTGCTTTTGCTTCTTTTATGTAGCTAAAATGAGGTGTGGAGCAGAGCCAGGGAGCGCCGCTGGAAACAACAGTTTCTATATCCCAGCACTGCTGCTGCTGACTTCCATTTCATTTGCAACCTGATGTGATCAGTGCAAAAGAGAGCCAACACTTTGCAGGAAGAGGTGGAGACATGGTGGAGCAAGTTTCCTCCTCATCGTATACAGAAGTAAATGAGCTTTTGTTCATTGGCTTCTCTAGGGGAAATCCACCCCCGGCAGGACAGGGCAAGGAGGAACCCAGGTTTCAGATCAGAGTAAGTCTGGGAATTTGCTGAATCACAGCTCAAGGGTGTGGATTTAAATGAGCAACAAGACAACTGTGAATTTTTCTCCCAGTCTTAAGGTAGAAAGTACAAAACCAATTTCCATAGCATCAGCTTTCACTACCTGTTGTGTAGACAGTAATTACAGCAATTTCAAAAAATGCACACAAGCATAGTTTTTTAATGCCTCATTGAAATATGAGTAGTCAAAATGCCTTCCCTGGAGTGAAAATCTATAAAATTCTTTACCTCAAGGTATTTACTACATTTTAATTTCTGGAAGTGAAGCAAAGTCAGTCCTCTGTGGCTGAGGGGGTAAAAAAAATCCCTTAAATGAAGGGAAAAATGGTTAGCAAGACAGCACCACTTGAACTTTACACACCAGAGGCAAAAATGTGCTGCTGAAACAGCTCCCAGAGTCGCTTGTGCAAGAGCAGCTGATGGCAGCCAGGCAGGGGCCCAGCAAAGCCGGTATTCACCTTCTTTATCAGTTGGGTTTTGTTCTTAAAAGGCTACTCAGAGTCACGCAGAACTGAAAGCAGCTGTAACTCTCACACTGCAGCATTACCACAGAGCTGGCTGCTCTCTGGCCACCTTTATTTGAGGATGAAGATGTGATTCATCTGCACTTCCCTGGGACCATGGGGGACTTCCATGTGTCTGTGGGAGGTGCAATTTCCCCAGTGATGATCTCCATATGATGCCTCCATGTCGCAAGCCACCATTGCTGCAGATGAAGTTCAGCGTAGCATGTGGAAGAGACTGTCTGGTCAGTGACCAGGTCACTAGTGGCCAACATATTTCTTACCCTGGGGGCAAGATGTGTCAGTTTTACAGTTTTTAAAGAAAGGAAGATGAATGAGAAACAAAACAAAACAAGGAGTCTGGCCCAGATAGGCTGCAGGGGATTGCAAAGGGTCCTATGGACCATGTTTTGCAAGATATTTCTGTGATTCATGTCTCTCCCATAGTTAAACCACAGAGCTGGTTGGTATGAAGAGCCTCCACGAGCTTTGTGCAGCTTGTGGCTATGTAAGATGTGTTGCTGTGGTCAGGCTTTAGGTTAATTCAAAAGCTAATGTTTATTTACAGCAGTTGTTGCAGAGTTAATCTAACAATATAAATGCACCACCATGCATGCGATAAATCACGCAGTATATGTTCATGTGTGATCTTTTCTGAAACCAGCCTATACATGGAAAAAGGGCAGGAAGCTCTCTAGATGGGAATTAGAAAAGAGAACTACAATGTGCAGCAGATCCCAGTCCTTCAGGGAACTGTTTGCACACTCTGCAGTGCACACTGCTGCCTGAGGTTTACATATTTGTCTGAGTTCTTAATTTTTAAAAATAAGTGAAATTGTTGTCTCGCTCCTTAATCTGCTTGTTCTCCATGTTGGGGAAAACCTTTCTCCCCATATTGCATTGTACTGTAAGATCAATATAGCTGATATTTTTTGACATACCAGTGGGTCAAGTGAATTGTCTCTTGATCTTTTCATGTTTCTCCTGCCTTTGCTACTGCTCATCTTCTCTGAGGCTTGATAGAAGGCTGTGGTACACATCTGTTTCATCCCACCAGACAGTCATAGCACTGAAATTTCTTTTAAGTAAACTAAAATATACATATACATAGGGTGGAGATTCTACCATCCAATGAATAATTCAGTATTTGAAATATGATGTGATGGATTCTTTATTGCATCACTCTCTAACATGCTACAGAAATAGGCTGCTTCTGTGAAAAAAAGGAAATAAAAAGAAGAAATAAAGCCAGAATAAAGAATGCAACTAGGGTACAGTATTATTGAAGATTGCTTTCAGGTTTTCTATGCCACAGAATAATTGATGGGCAAATAAAGGCAGCTCTATATTTTTTTTTTATTTTCTCATACACCATGTATTGAACTGCGGCCTGTTTTCTTTCTTTTTGCTAATTATTCCAAATATGGGGTGCAAACTGTGCCTACAGTATGTGCCACCCACAGCTATGTTAGAAAAGCATAGCATTTCCAATAAATAATACATGGGAGCGACTGCAAGTCTGTCTAAGAAAGAAAGAAAATAAAGTAAAAGCAGACGAGATGAGCTGTGAGTGAGTCTATTGACGGAGCAGAAAGGCCGTATGCTAAATAATTCAGAAATTGTGTTCAGATACAAGGGCAGCCCCTACATCAGCTATGTCTTACATTGGCAGAACAAATGTTCTTGCTTCATGTTTCATGTCTCCAAATTCACAGGAGAAAAGCCAGTGGTCACTACTTCCATCCATAATTTCATAGAATTTCAGTCAATTTATTTGTTTGCTGTTTGTTAGGCATGCATTCTCCCGTTTCCTAGATATTAATCACAAAGAGCAATAATCAGGACTAGTACTATAGGAGAGGATCCCCTCCTCCTCCCATGCCCTAAATATTACAGTAACTGGAATTTTGTCCCAATCACTATATTCACTGTCAAAGCATTTTGCCCTCACTCCACAGGGCACACAGGAGGAAGAAAGACACTTTAAACTGAAACAGGGTAGATTTAGATTTGGACATAAGGAGGAAATTTTTTACAGTAAGAGTGGTGAGACACTGGAACAGGTTGCCCAGAGAAGCTGTGGATGCCCCATTATTAGAAGTGTCCATGGTCAGGTTCGGCAGGGCTTTGAGCAACCTGGTCTAGTGGAAGGTGTCCCTGCCCATGGCATCGAGATTAGACTAGATGATCTTTCAAGGTCCCTTCTAACCCAAACCATTCTATGAATCTATGATTCTGTGACCTGCAGTAGGACATGAGACACAGGCTTTGGAGAACAAACCAATAGTTGATGGTTCCCTAGGGAAACCACGTCATCTCAGGGTTAGACCATGATGCTCTTAGCATGGCTGTCACAATAGCCTTCATGGCTGTGATGCCATACACCAGAACAGGGTGAGCTCTGAAGGAGGTAGGTCTAATTCTAACCAATTCACTGGAAATCAGTATTAATCATAGCAAAAGTGCAGCTGAGTCCATCAGAAATGCTTCTTGAGAAGGCAGTGCCCCTTATTACACATTACCAAACTACCAGAAGTATCCCAAAAACCAAGGCAGAAACTTCCAAGCAAATGGGATATTGATCCTTCCCTTTTATTAGTGCAAAGCACTTTCCATTAACGGCCTCACAGGTATTGCACAACCACTGCTGCTCTCTCTTCCATTAGACATGCAGTGACCTTTGCATCAAAGAGGTAATTAAAGGCATGTGAAAGCTTAATCTCCCTTGCCACCATAACCAAAAGATTATCTTCACTAAAATTAGAAATAGTTTTTCATCATAGTTCTTCATCCAAAACGTAATTTCTTTTTAGATAATATGTAGATAATATGGGTATAATATGGGTATAATATGGGTCATCTAAAAATGACCTTACAAATCTCACCCAAATAATATTCACAATATCCATGTGAGTGTCAAGGTGCTGAGAGAATTGAGAGGCCTCACTGGCCCTTGCCGGCCTCCCTGGGGGTGATCCTTCAGTGTTCCCAGGCAGTGTCCCCAGCAGTGATGCTGTGGAGCTCAGGAGACATGTGCTTCACCCTCCAGCACAGCCCTCCAACAGGCATGACCCAGAGGGCATGTCCTTGCCCAGTGGTGGAAGGAGCTGGGGCGGAGCTTTGGTCCAGCCCATGTCACCTCTTTGGAAGGCAGCTCTAGGGGACATAACGCTTGGCAGAGCCAGGAATAACAGAAGTAGATCCCATCCTTACCATGAGTGTTCATCCTAATGGCATCTGCTTGAAGCAACAAGTAGATCACAGCCCAGTGCAGGCAGAGTGTACCTACCCAGCCAGAGTTGCTTGTGTCTCTGAGGAAAGCCACCAGAGCTGCCATTCACCCAGCCCTGCTAAGTGTTTCCTGCGAGATCTCTTCGCTATATCATACACAGAAGAACCACCAATGGAGGGAATGTTCAGACCAGCAACTGTCGAGAAAGCCTGCTGGGAGCTGAAGGAGGCCCTGGACACAGGTGGATGTGTTGACCTGGAGAGCACACCTGTCTACTTGCTGGCAAGTCATCTTGAAGGGGACTTCTTCCGAGCTGGGGCTATGAAAGCTCCTTGCAGAGCTGCAGGGGACCCACTGGGTTTGACCTAGCCAGGACCCCAAGCTAAAGCCACAACAAAGCCAAATTTTCAGGCTTAGGGAAGTTTGGCCTTTTTCTCTTCTGTTTCCTGGCCCATTCCTCTTGTTCTGCCCCTGATGTCTGGCATGCCCATGGGAAACTCA